AAATTTCTCAATTTGTTTATTTATTAAACCAAACCTACGGAGTTCCCGGCAGTTTGGCCGCAGCCCCTCCGGAGTGGCAGGAGAGGTGAGGAAAGGTCCAGGAATGACTCTGTCTGTTGACTCGAGCGGTTGCTTGGCAGGAGGGTGTCCGGGGACAGATCTCAGCTCAGACCTGCACAGTCACCTGCCTGGGGACAACGAACCTGGGGACAACGAACGGTCCCGGCTCCAGAGGGAGCAGCAGGACGAGCCTGGGGAGCAGACCGGCTTCCACACCAAGGAAACTTTACTAGTCTGGGACGCTCGGTGGGTCCCCGGGGAGGAAGGGACACAACCCCCAGTCACCTCCCAGAGGGTGACGCGGTGGCTTTTGGGTTTTAAGCGGGTTTCCTGAACAAGGCGGCTGGGCCAAGGGATGGGACGGGATTGGGGATGGGGTGGGACAGGATTGGGGGTGGGATTGGGGGTGGGATGCGATGGGAGCGGAGTCCCATGCCGGCGGTGGGCGGGGCCCGGCACTGGTGGGCGGGGCCTGACCGGGATGGACATCTGAGCCCCGCCCGGACGGGCGTGGCCGAGCGCAGTCGGGTGAAGCCGAACACAATCGGGTCGCGCCGAACAGACGAACGCACACGGCTCCAGCTCAGCCGTGTAGAGCCGAACCGAGCCGAAAGCAGCCGGGCAGAGCCGATTGGACCCGAACGGAGCCGGGCGTAGCCGAGCAGAGCCGAGGTGAGGAGCCGTGTGAGGGAACGCGCGCCCGGTGCCCCGGGACCGGCGATGGCCCCGCAGCCGCCCCGCTCTCTCCCTGCCCGCTGTCCCCCGGGACCGGCGATGGCCCCGCAGCCGCCCCGCTCCCTGCCCTTCTCCCTCCTTCCCTCCCGGGACCGGTGCGGGGGCTGAGCTGCGGCCGTGCGACCTCGCTGCTTCTCGCCCTGCCAGAGCCCCGGGACCGCCCGCGTTGCTGCATGGCCGAGAAGAAGCTGATCGTGGTGTTCGGGGCCACCGGTGAGTGCTCGGGGAAAGGCCCGGGCTGTGCCCGGGGGCCGGCGGGGAGAGCGAGGGGCGGAGGCGTCGGTGATGCCCGAGCGGCCGCGGGGCGAGGAGGGCGAGCAGGGCGGGGAGCGAGCGGGGCTCGGTGCCTGTGGCTCCGGGCCGCTCCGTCCCGCGGCCCCAGCGCATCCCGGCGCCGCGGGCCCTGACCGGCTGCTCCCGCAGGGGCCCAGGGCGGCGGCGTGGCCCGGGCGCTGCTGGACGATGGGAGCTTCGAGGTGCGCGCGGTGACGCGGAGCCCCAGGAAGAAGGAGGCGGAGGAGCTGAGGCGCAGGGGAGCCGAGGTGGTGAAGGCAGATCAGGACGATGAAGCATCGCTGGAGCGGGCCTTGGCCGGTGCCTACGGAGCCTTTATTGTCACCAACTTCTGGGAGCACTGCAGCAAGGAGAAGGAAATCGAGCAGGTACCTGTCCTGACATTAACTGGGACCGTGTGTGGGTGGATCATGACTAGTGTCAAAGTGGGCACTGCTCTTGGAGCATCCGTGGCAGCCCTGATGGTTTGAGTAGCCAGTCCAGAAGACCCCAAGGCCTCACAAACACCAGGTCCCAATTCTTGCAAAGCCAAGACTTGTTCTCTGTTCCCTCACAGTTGCATGGCTCCAGGATCTGGTGCCTCCAGGAGCTGATAAATTTGTTATGGAGAGCACTTTTCAGGAGCTGGAGTAGCAGGAGTGGGAATGCTTGGCTCCTGAGAGCCTTCCTGGGGCAGAGCTGGGATTGTCGCTGCCTGCAGACCTGTGCTTGCAGCCCTGTGCAGGGCCAAAATCCTGCAGTATCAGAGATCTCAAGGGTGGTGTTCATGCCAGGACAGATCCTGCAGGATGGCAGAGTTGCCACACCTGGATGGCAACAAACAAAAGATAAGATAGTTTAGGGCAGGTATGTTGGCCAGGCGGATTCTTTCTGCTGGTGCTTGCGTGTTTGGTGGAGCAGCAAGCTCCAAAGCTGGAGGGTGTGTGGCCTTTCTGAAGTAGGACGGGGTAAGGAGAGGATTCAGCTCCACCTGGACAACTCACTGTGCTCCCAGCTGAGGGCTGGTGGGAGTTGGATCCTCCCCAGAGGGAAGAGGGGTGTGGGCATGATGGGGATGTCCCATTCCCCCCTTCATGGCTGGTTTCTCCCCTGGCGCAGGGACAGCGTCTGGCTGACCTGTCCAAGCGCCAGGGTCTGCGCCACGTCGTGTTCAGCGGCCTGGAGAACGTGCACCAGCTGACGGGGGGCCGCCTGGAGGTGCTGCACTTTGATGGCAAAGGCGTGGTGGAGGAGTACTTCCAGAAAATTGGGGTTCCCACCACCATCATCCGCCTGCCCTTCTACTTTGAGAACTTCCTCTCCATCTTCAAGCCGCAGAAGGCCCCGCAGGGAGACGCCTTTGTCCTGGGTAAGGAGGAGCTCTGGCTCTGTGGGTCACTCTATTGTGACTGTCCCACCGTGCCAGTGGAGGGATGGCCAGGGCTGTGGGCTGGTAGGGTGAAGAGGCCTCTACCAGCTTGACCACAGCAAGCTGCATTGTGGTCTTCAGACCTGTTTGGTGGCCTGCAGGAAACCACCAGGATCCTGGGCCTGTTTGTGGTGCTGGGTGCTGCTCTGCAGATCCCAGAGCAGCTCTGGACATCCCAAGTCCCTGCGTTTGGGATGGTGGAGGTTGTGGGGCTGCAGGTGACTCATGGTGCTGCTCTGCTGTCAAGGTCTCTTAGCTCAGCCCTGCTCTCCTGCCTTGGCGTGCTGATGGGTGCTCTCATCCCTCCCTCACCTCATGTCCAGAGACTGAAAACTCCGCTGTACCTCCTCAGAGCTGGGCTGCGCTGCAGCTGGGATCAATCTCTCCATACAGAGCTGCCCATGGGGGACACTCCCATGGATGGAATGGCTGTGGAGGACCTTGGGCCCGTTGTACTTTCCCTCCTGAAGTCCCCAGGGGAGTACATTGGCCAAGTGATAGGACTCAGCACGGGCAAGCTCACCGAGGCAGAGTATGCTGCCATCCTCTCCCAGCAGACGGGCAAGACTGTGACAGCCAGCAAGGTAGGAAGTGTCCCTTAGTGTAGGGGATGTTCCTGAGGGACTCACAGCTCGTTTTGGTAGAGCCCAGCACCGACACTGCCCTGTTGGTATTGTCACTGAGCTCATGCCTGTGGGGCACACAGATGTGTCTGGGCAGGTCTGTGCCTGGCTCTGAGGCATAACTGAGCTGGGAGTCTCCAAGGGAGCCAGGGATGGGCACCTACACAACAGGTTTCTGCTGGGTGCCCTTCCCTTGAGCAGGGCTTTCTCCAGGGCTTTGCTGTGTCACCATTAAAACAGACCTGGCCTCTGTGCTGTGTCACTGTTAACAACACCCTGACCACTCCCTGCCCCTTCGTGACTTATTTTTAATCTTTGTTTGCAGTTCAGTTGTGCCTCAGGCAGCCAATACAATGGATGAGGGGTAGCGTGGCTCCCTGAGAACAAAGTGCATTTCATTAGAAACAAAGCTCCTCTGATGCTCTCTGCACGTTCTGCTCTCCCAGAAGTGCAGTGAACCAAACCCTTTGATTCAGGCAGGGAAAGTGCCAACCTGAGTTGCCTCCTGGACCACCCAGTTTCTAGAACCCCTCAGCCATAGCTCTGGTGTGAGGAAGGGCTCCCTCATAGCTGCTCCAGCCCCTGGCCAGCTGTGTGCCAGACCTGGGGGTGGCCCTAGGCTGGCTGGGCTGTTCCTGCCAGGAGGAGCTGCATCCTTTGCCCAACCCCAGCAGATCTGCCTTGCTGAGCCCTCTGCACCAGTGCTGACAGGCTGCTGTAGCAGAGCCCTCATCACATCCCCTCAGAGGCTGAGGGGAAGCCCCAGCAGCCTCTGAAACAGTTTTTTTTCCCCAATTCTGTTGGCAGATGTCCCCTGAGGAGTACGAGAAGCAGGACTTCCCTGGGGCCAAGGAGCTGGCCGCCATGTTCCGTTTCTACACCCTAAAGCCAGACCGCAACGTGGCCCTGACCATGAAGCTCAACCCCCTGGCCCGCACCTTCCAGCAGTGGGTGGGGGACAACAAGAATGCCTTCTGAGCCTCCCCTCCCTCCTCTTCCTCCCTGGTTTCTGCAGCAGGTAGGGCATGGCTGAGGTGAGGTGCCCTGAGCCATGCTGCCTTTGCAGTAGTGCCCCAGGGAGAGGCTGATCCTGTCCCAGCTGGGGAGAGCTTGGCCCACTTGCTGGTCCGTGTGTGTGCTCCTGCAGCGTGGTTGGGACTATTTAGGCAGCTAGAACAAGAGGCAGGGCTGGACAGCACAGGCAGGGGGGTGGCAGAAGTGCTGCCTTTGCACTCTGTCCTCAGGAAGGTGTTGCTTTAGTCATTGTGGGTGTTTTAGGGTGGTGGGGGCTTGTTTTCCCGGGATCACCTCCTTTCCCAGGCAGCTCTGAGCATTTGGCACCACGTGGTAGGCTGAAGGTGTGCACCCCAAAGGCAGTGCCTTTGTGGCAGGTATCCATAGCCAGGGCTGCTGCAGGCTCCTAAGCAAACAGAAGACAGGAATTTCTCCAGGGATCTGGTTTGGGCACTGCAGGTGAGCCACTGGAGAGATGGAGGCTTAGTGTCAGCCCAGCAAGCAGGGACTGCAGTGACTTCCTGTGAGTGTAACATAAAAGCCGAGCCTGATTCCTCATCATACAGCTCTGGCCCTGGTCCTTGGGCTCCTGGAGCTAATTTCAGTCACTGTCCCAAGGAGCTGAGATAAAACTCAGCTTTTCTAGACTGTCCAAGGTTCAGTGGAAAAGCCCCTTCCTCCTCACGTGCCTAAAGTACTGCTCAGATAGGGCAGCTTTGTGTTTAAAGTCAATCCCAGTCCCTAGCAATGCTTGAGCCATCCAACCCTGTCCCCTCCTTGGCCCAGAGACCTTCATCCCTGTTAGGAGGGGAGGGAAAGGGAGTGACAGAGCAGGTGGAAGAGTAGACAAGGCAGCAAGGCACAGCACGTGTTAAATATCTTTATGAAGTCCATCTTATTTACATGGGTACAGAATCACTTTACAGAAGTTTAATCAGGAGGCAACGCGTGCTTTATTTCAGCAAATTAAGAAGGGCAAGACTACAGCATGTCCCTGTTTAACTGGTGTTGAACTGATTAGTATGTGGGCTGATGGTACCTGCACAGTATCACAAACACAGCAGGCTACAGTAACCATGGAATACTCACTGCAAGAGCTCAGCTCCATCTGGAAGGAGTGATCCACCTCACTTGCACTCTCACACAAGTAAAACAACGATGCTTTGACCAATCCTTTACGCTATGGGTGTTGCACTAAAGTAATAAAATATTTTTGTCCCCAACTGGCAAAGGGCTCAGTGATCAACTTGTACCAGTCCAGAAGCGACAGCAGTTGTGTGGTAACTTTAGTTATCTGGGGGATAAACTTGAGGCAAAGTGCAGATTCCATCACTGCTCTGTGCAGGCAATCAGCAGGATAGAGAAAGCCCAGGGCTGTGAGGGAGCCAGGCCAGCTGGGCTCAGACAACACCCAGCCACAGGGAGATTCCACCTGGAGCTGTGCAGGGCAGCAGGGCTGTCGTGAAGACAAGGTTAGACCTTCCTGACCCACCAAGTCTCCTGGAGAGTTCACCAAGCACACCTGGCATTCCAAAGGGCACCTGAGTGAGCAGCTGGTGTGCTTGGTCTCCACACAGCATATTGCTGCTCTGTGCTGGACTATTTGTTTCACATTTCCTCTGGTTTGGATTCTAAACAATACTTCAACTTTAGCTTTTACCAAATAAGCTTCCAGCAGCAGTGGGGTTGTGGAGCAGCGTCCAGAGAGCCACACTTCTGCTAAGCTGGTTTTCCTTCACTGCCAGTTCTTAGGACAGTGGGTGGGGTTTGTGTTGGTGCCTCGGTGGTCCATGGCCTCTCCAGCTGGGATTCTTGCTGTGCTGCTGACATCCTGTGTTCTCCAGAGCCTGGCTGCCAGAAAGATTCACCCCCAACTGCACGGATGACCTGCTGCTGCTGGCTCCTAGTTCCCAGTAGAGCGTTTTCCTGCAGTTGAAGAGAGAGGAAGGTTACAATTTCCTGGCTGTATCAGCACACAGCCCACTCTGGGAGCACCTCCCCTCCTGACCTGCTGTCACATTGTCAGCCCTACAGCACAGCCAGCTTTGAAGCATACAAAGATGCAAAGCTGAGCCCCTGGAATCCCAGACTCTGTGTCTGCTGTAGATGATTCCAAGTGTCGGTGCTCCCTCATAACAGGTCAGCACCGACTGAAGCTCCTGAGTTGCACTGCAGTGATGCATGGTGGGGTTTGCTGTGCTCTGTGACAAAGACTGGCTCCTCCCTGGTGCTGTAAGCCCACGGCAGGGGTGAATCCAGCCTGAGTGTGCCAGCACCAGTGGCTCTGCAGCCCAGGATTTGTGTGGCAGAACCCGGTCCCAGTGGGACCAGCTCATGGGAACGCCCTCAGTGCTTGGAACTGGGCACAGCTCCAGCAGCAGAGCTGCAGGGGAGGCCAGCCACCCCCCAAGGGTGCACCCAGCATCTGTGCTGCTCTTTGCTGCAGCAACAATGCACTTTAATCCCTGGCTTGTTGCTCCAGGTCCCAGGGGACAGCTAGGGCTGTGCACATTCCCGGCTGGAAGGCCTGAGGCTAAGTGAGAAGCAACGCTGTGCTATTGTGCTTCCACCTCCCAAGAAGTGCTCAGTGTGGGGGAAAGACAACAGTGAAACACAAGAGGCCTCCTACCTCGGATGGGGTGTCAGGAGGTAAACATTTTCTTAAGTTTGGAAAGGAATCCCTCCTTGTTCTCCTGAGCCTCAGGCCTATCCCCGCCTGCGTCAGCGCTAGCCTTGGCCCTGCCACCTGGACACAAACAGCAAAGGGCTGCAGTCAGAGACATCTCCCACCAGGACCAGAGGGGTGTTTTAGACAGCAAATGGCCAAGACAAAGCAGCTGGTTGTGCTCCTCCCTCACGTCCAGGGCTGCACCTGGCAGCGAGCCACAGGACTGGACCCCTTGCAGTGGAAGCACTGGAAAGCCTGGATCCCAGAAGTGGAAAAGCCAACCATGAGCTCAGGTGCTGAGCTGTTCCCTTCCCCTCTCCCCAGCCCTTCAACTGGCAAGGGAATTCTCTTGCTGCACAATTGAGTCAGGGACCCCAAAGGCTTTGGAAACAAGTACTTGGAAGTGGGTCTGCCACTAAAAGCAAGTGGTGAACTCGATCACAGCCAACCAGGACTTTACAGGGTTAAAAGACCTATACTGGTGGTCCCTGAAACAAGTTTTTCCTGTTTCAAGGTTGTGTCCTTGCAAAGCAGGGCAAAACCACACCAGGAGCCTGATTTGTGTCACTGCAAGCAATGCTCAGACAGTGTTAAGCAGAAAATTAACTCATGTAGAATGAAAAAGGCTACAAGTATTTCAGACTGACTGTCCAGATAAGGAATGTTAAAATTGTCCTGTATGAACAGGTCCTGAGAACTTGTTTGTCCCTCAGAAGTGGCTATAATGAGAACAAAGGAGACCTGTTAGCTAATCTGTTTTTTTCTACAGTAAAGCCATCAACAACAAGATCCCAAACTCCCCCTCAAGCTTTCTTTGTGCACAGAGAACACGGAGTCTGGTGTTCCCCAGCCTCCCAGGGCTGAGTGCTGGGCTCAGACTGATGCAATGGGATGAAATCCCGAGGTAGGACACGCCTCCCTCAGCACAGCCTGTCTCTACACTGCAACCTACTGGCGTTATTTTAACTCACCTTGCTGCTTATCATGGTAAAAACTGGCAGGTTTGCTTTTTAAAAACTTAGTTTGAAGAGGTTATTTTTCCTCTTTGGCACACAAATGCTTTTAAAAAGCTGGAATGGAAATTCAGTGCTCAGAGTTCTCTGCCCTTCCCCCAAGGCTGACTGTAATATAGGAAAGACATATTTTTTGTATATATAATTACTATAAAACAGAACACTGGGGAAGTATTTGGCAGATCCTGCACTTAAGCCTGTATTCCTCACACTTTGGCACGTAGTAGAGCAGATCCTAGGATCAATCAGCAGCTCCAAAAGGCTCTCACCTTTGCCTAGTCATAAATGCCCTGTACAGGTTCAAATCAAAACCAAAATCCAACAGGCTTTAAGAAGTTCATTGTTTCAATTAAGCAAAGAAGAAACTGCTTTCCAGTAGTGAGAGACAAAACTCCTTCCTTACTGTGTTACCCTGTGTTGTGCCTTTAGCTGCTGCCTCTTCCAAGCACCTCATACCTGAAACTTTGAACACAATTGCTGAATCTCAATTTTCCATCTGGAGCTGGAAAGCAGCTCCACAAATCTCCCAGCTGCCTTCACTCCTCCATCGTGCTGGACACTGTCCACTGACCAGAGCTGACACTGCCACCAAGGGACACTCCCAGCCCAGGTTTTCCCACACACACAGAGCTCAGCCCCAACAGAAACCCCTGTCAGCATTCCAGGAGAAGCAGCCCTGCCGTGCTCAGAAGCACACTGGATTGGGATCACGCAGGAAAGTGGCCTGAAGCACATTTGCTTTCCTGCCTCAAGGTAAATGCTGGCAAAGGGGAAGCAGGGAGCAGGAGGCATTCATCAGCACAGTTTGTCTGGACCCTGGAGTACTCAGCACCTGCTTTCTGTTCACTCATGGACTTGCCCAGTAAGTACTGGAATACAGCTTCCTGGGAAGAGGCTGCCTCCCTGCTGTGTGCTACAGCCTGTTAATATCACAGCAGAACTACTTCTGTTAAACCAGGCTGTGCTGCCACAGGCCTGATGGTGACCCTGGCTCCCCGTGCTCCCCAGGAGCGCTCAGGGAGCGCTGTGCACTCCCACAGCAGCTGCCCAGGGAAGGGCCAGGGCTTCCCCCGCTCACCTGACGCCGTGTTGGTGACCCCGTTCACGGTGCCGTCCACGTCGGCCTCGTCCTCGGCGTAGCTCATCATTAAGGCTCGCTGGCGATCCGTCAGCCTCCTGTGGCACCAGGACACGGGGTCAGGGATGGCCTGGGTCCCACAGCCTCCCAAACCTCCCCCAGCAGCACCCACGGGGGCCAGGGACCGGAGTCCATTGTGTACGAATACACCAGGAATCCATGTGCTCTTTAAATGAGCCATCTGTAAGGAACGATCTCCAGTGGAAGAGGAGACATAGGACCCACTGCATTTCACCTCATGGAATTTTCACAACTTTTAAACAACATTTTTTGTAAAAAATTCTTAAGATTTCACAGGAACTTGTTTTAGCTCTACTTACTGAGGAACTTTTATCTTTATGTGGATGTAGTGGTCTCCATAGCCATAGCTGTTGACCTTGGGAATGCCTTTCCCACTCATTCGAATCTTCTGGTCTGGCTGAATACCAGGGGGTATCTATAAACACAAAGGTCTCACATTTATTACTCTAATTAAACATTTATATAATAATTACACATCTATAAAAATTATCTGCTTCTCCAACCAGCTCCAAAGTAGGATAGGAGAGCTCTCGTATGCTCATGCATTGGGACACATCCCAAAGCTAAGCCAGTAAAGATGGAAAAGCTCTTGAAGGAATAAGTAAAGAACCTGACACAGCCTGCAGCCCTGCAGTTTAGGGTTTGTCCAGCAATCCCTTTCTTTCCCTGTCCCTACACAGCAACAGGAAAGAAGCTGTGACCGGGCAGGTCACAAACTACCCAAGGCTCAATCCTGAAGGAGTCTGAATTGGAATACTGGCAGACTTGGGAGATTTTGCCCTCCTTTACAGCAAAGGAGAAGCCTTTGCTGTGGCCCACTGATTCATACCCAGAATACTGGTACTCACCGTGATGTTGATTGTCTCATACAAGCCTTGACACCGGGCTGTGCCTCCCAGCACGGCCTGAGCTATTGAGATCAGGAGATCCGAGTGGATATCGGCTCCGTTTCGTCGGAACACAGAGCTCTTCTGAACCTGGAGGGCAGCAAAGTTCCAAAGAGCAGTGAGCACACCATGTTCTCCTGCTAAACTGCTCCCAAGGGTCTCAGGAAAAAATATACCATCCCCAAACTGCACGGCTAAGAACTGTGAGTTAGTATTTGGTGTTCTAGTAAAACACAGATCTTGACATAACTGAATTAGCCAAAGGATTGGAAGGATCCCTGCTTCCTGCTTCAGGAACTCCCTCCCTAATCCTGCTGTCAGTTTATCCCTGTCACTGCAGTTGTGCAGAGACAGACACTGCCTTGTCCAGCACGCTGATAAAAGTGAGAAGGAAATGAAGCACCTTTCCAGTGGCCTCACAATGGAACAGAATTAAACCCTCCTGCACCATAAAAGAGGTGCTGAAAACAATCTTCTCCTCAAGAGGGATGTGTGTGGCAGAAGACACCCAGCTATAGCACAGATGCAAAGCAGCCCTGAAGGTGGATCTGCAGGACACTTCACAGGCAGCCTCCTGCAGCACCTCCCACAGCTCTCCTCAGCTTTACCACCCCTGCCAGCAGGCAGCTCCTTCGCATTTCCAAGTCAAAACCTCAAGGCATGAAGAACCTACTCTGCACTTTGATTCACACTACCCTAAGGGCCTGGTCCTGGAACGAGCAGCCATTCTTCATGAACAGATTCAAAGTTACTCTCCTTGCTACAATGCAGATCCCCTGCTCTCTCAGAAAGTTCACAGGGATCATGTTACCTCAGCTGTTCCAAAGGATCACTGGCTCTTCCTCCTCTGCCCATTCTGCAGTCCTTTCCCAGGCAGTTGAGAAGGGAACAACCAACTTACATCACAAACCAGCTTGGGATACATACCCTGAACGTAATGAAAATTTCTTTCTTCCCCACAGGCATCCGAACTGTCTGCCCGTCCTCAACACCTGCAATCAGAACAGGAGGGAATGTGACCTTGGCATATAACCCTTGTGTGACATGGATACCTACAACTCTTGCCAATCACAAAAGCTGGCCACCACAGCCCAAAGGAGGAGGAGTCAGCACATGTTTATACCTCTGAGGTGATCCCTATGCCCTCAACACACTTGTGACTTCAATATTTACAGAATTGTCTATGCATTCTACAAATGCATTGGATTAAGGAACACTGCAGCCTCCACAAGCTGCAGGAAAATTAAGGGTGCTCACGCAGGGTGATCTCAAAGAAGTCTTATTCCCACCACTGAATTCTCCTCTCTGGTGAGAAAGGCAATCAGCACAGCCCTCTGAGCCAAACCAAGGCTTTCAGGATTCCCACCCTCTCCCCAAGCTTCATCAAGGACAAATGAAAGGCTCATGTCAACAAAACCTTTGGAGAGTCACCCTTCAAAACCTGCCTAGGAGGACCCAGGCAAGAACCAAAGCTCAGGAAGGGCAGAGCAAACACGTATAGCAATGGCCAGAAGGTCCATCTCATCACTAGCCCATTTAATTGCTGAGCTCTCAACGTGCTTTGCTTTAAAGACCGTTTCTCTGCAGGAAAAAGGTCTTACACTGTTCCCCCATTTGTACCAACAGAGGCAGTAAATAAGAGAGCAGCAGACAGGTACAACACTGACCAGCTGGCACAGGAACCATCACTGTCTTCTTCTGCTTGGTCTGCCCTGTGCCCCGGCACATGACGCAGGGCGTGGTGATGATGGAGCCGCGGCCGCCGCAGCGCCGGCACGTGGAGCGCATCACGAACGGGCCCGTGTTGATCGTCTCCTGGGGAGGAACAGACACACGATGGGCAAACGATGAGTACTGGGATGGGGCTTCTCACACAGCACCTTTGGGCTCTGATCACACACACCCTGTCAGGACAGAGATACCCTTCAGCAATGGCTGGAGCAGAGAGCCGGCTCTGAAATCCACCCACCGTCACATGCCGATTTCCACTGAACACCACCACCACTACAAGTGTCAGGTGCTGAGGGCAAGGGAAACACACCACCCTCAAAGTCTAGGCTTTAATGTCCAAGAAGGAACAAAGCTCCTTACAGCGCTGCAAACGTCTGTGTTCTGATGAATCCAAGGACAATCCATTTACATGGATTACTGCCAGTGTCCAAGAAAACCTTATGGTGACTAAGCCCTGGACTGAACCACTGGAGCACACAAGGAATCAGATGCATGCAAAAGACCAAAGCCTGCAGCTCCATCATTACCTGCATCTTCTTATTTTACGATTAGCCATGGGTTTTCACCACCTCCTCCACCGTCCAAGTCAAAAGATACCCATTTACTACCCAGGAATTTCAGAGCTGTTACATTATATTCATATGGTTTGTGGGATGTGCAGCAGCAGAGGATCCAGGCTGAAGGCTCATGCTTTCAGCTGGGCACAGCACTTTAACACAAAGAAAATCTTCCTAGTGCCTATTAGCATCAAGCTGACATTAACTCAGCTTTGCCCAACATAAGCTGATGAGCGTGGTGAGAATTTTTCACCATGGAACGAGTGAGTCTCCCCAAGAAGGGAAAGCACAGAACTGGTGTCCTGCTCAGCACTTACCATGCCCGTGCCATTGCAGTAGTGACAGCGCTGAGCTTTGGTGCCAGGTTCGTGTCCCTTGCCATCGCAGCGCACACAGGAGTCCTGGATGTTCACCACAATCTCCTTGTTAACACCTTTTGCAGCTTGGGTGAATGTCAGTTCCATGATATACTGCACAGGAAACAAGGATGTAGAGCCATGACTGAGGTGTGACAGGATCTTAAGGAGACTGAGAAGCATTTAGGCTAAATACCAAACAATGCTTAAAATAGAAATTCTCTGTAAAGACAACTGATCAAAAGAGGGAATTCTCCTTATATGAAAAAGGTCATTTTTAGTAAAACCAGGAGTACCAAACACCAAAAATTTCTGAAGACAACACATGAACCATCAACACTTAAAGGAGCATTTAGCTGCAACACAAAGAACAAGACAGATTTTATTATGGGCCTCACTGCAACATGAAGCTAATTAAGTTGCAAAATTATGCCAATTAAGCAGCCAAACACATTGCTGGAAGGCCTGGTTTATAGTACAAGGTATTTTGTGGGTTTTAGCATTACAGATCAAAGCAGGCATAGGTAAATCAAGCTGCAGCAGAAACGATGCCTCTCCAGCGATGGAACTGCTCAGCAGTACTGGGTGGAGACAGCAAACACCAGAGAAGGATTTGCTGTGTGTTCAAGCCCAGAAAAAATATCCTGTCTGGAGGTGTGGGGTGTGTTCCTGCACAGCTTAACAAAACTATGAGACTCTGCCCATGCCATGGGACACTCACACACTGACATCCCCAGAAACAACTCCTTGCTGAAGCTCCCACAGCACTCTGTGACAGAAGCTGGGGAGAGACTGCTTTGAGTTTGCCATTCCTAAATAAAGGCACCTCCTACCTCCTGTGGCTGGTCAAAGACAGTCTGAAAGTCGCCGAAAGGGGATCCTGAGAACTCCCCAAAGATCTTCCTGAAGAGCTCCTCGGGGTCGATGGAGGGGCCGCTGCTCCAGTACTGCCGCCCCGCGCCGGCCCCGGCCCCGGCCGCGCCCGCCTCGAAGCTCGCCGTGCCGTAGGCATCGTACTGCTTCCTCTTCACCTCGTCACTCAGCACCTGCGGCAACAACCGGGCCATCAGGGCATGGCAGCATCCAGGAGAATCCCTGCCTCCGGGCTCACACCTTCCAACAAGGTCTCGCCCAGCTGTCAGCACCACGGCAGTTAGGGACAAGCTGCTGCTTCCCTGGTGATTCTTGGCTCATCGCCAGAAAAACGACAAGATTTTACTCATTTATAAAATGCAGAAATAACTTCTACTAAACAGCTGATCATTATTGTATCAGCTGAAGAGTGCTGGAATCAAAAAACAGGGCTGGGGGAGCACAGTGAAAGTCCCTCTGTCTCAAAAACTGGCTGGCAGGTTTTTTGTTTGATTATTTAAACTGACGATAATTCCATGGAAGTGACATCCATGCCAGTCACTGCTAAGGAAGGGGAAAACTGAAACAGCCCAAAGCAGCTAAATCTGGTATTTGGACCAAGGAATTTCTTGGGACAGATGTGTCTCAGACTGAAGTGCATCAAAAAACAGCCACGGTTTTACAGGAAATCTTTGCCCTCATCTACTCTCTAGTCTTTCCTCCTTCTCATCACAACAAAATCCTGCTATTACCTCATAGGCTTCTGCCAGCTGAGAAAACTTCTCCTTCGCTTTGGGGTCGTCCTTGTTTGTGTCAGGATGGTATTTCTTTGCCAACTAAAAAACACAAACCAACTATTAGAGACAGGCAGGAGTTATTTACTTAAGCATATCTCACATGCCAGGAAAAACACATCAGCAGAGCCTGACATTCACTAGATGCATTCCCAGGAACTAAACATTTTCATTTATCAACCCTAAACAAGGAACTACAGGAGCTGCTGCTAATCTTCTCAGCAATCCCCGATCCTCCTGGAAGGAGACAAGCGATGACAGCACAGGCAGACCATGCTTTGGAAGCGATCCCCAAGGCCATGTGCTGAGCTTTCCCACTGCCTCCTCCCCTTGTCTCCAGCGGCTCCACAGACGGGGATGGATTTGTTCTCTGGCCCAGCGAAGGGGCAGCCCCGGCTCCTCTGGCAGCCCACGGGGCCCGGCGGGTCCCGCCGCACCTGGTAATAGGCCTTCTTGATCTCCTTCTGCGTGGCGGTGCGGGGCACCCCCAGCACCTGGTAATAGTCCTCCTTGGCGCGGGCCGCGCTGCTGTGGAAGGCGGCGGAGGCGGCGGCGGCAGCGCGTTTCGTCCCTGCGGGAGAGGAGGGAGAGGGGCCGCCGTGAGGGCCGGGCCGGCTGGAGGAAGGGACAGGGCCGGGGGAAAAGACCCGCACCCCGCCGGCCCCGCCCCGCGCCCCGCGGCCGCCCCGACCCAGCGCGATGCGCTCCCGGCCGCCATCTTGGCCCGCGCGCGGCGCTGCGCCTGCGCACCCTTCTGCGGGGACGGGCCGCGCACGCGTACGGCGCCGTGACCGTGGCTGCGCCATGCTTGCGCATGCGCGGTGCTCGGCAGGGCCGCGGGGCCGGAGGCTGAGGGTGGAAGTGTAGCGGTCGCGGGGCCCGGAGGCACCGGGCAGGGAGCGCGCGGGGACACGGCTGGAACGGCCGGGCACTGCCCCGTGATAGCCTCGTGCGGCGGGCTGGGAACCCTGCCCTCTGCCTGCCTTCGCGGTTTGCGCCCTTCCAGGGCTGCTGCTCTTCTCCCGTAGCAGGTGACATACCTCGCAGGAGTGGAATAAAGGCTCTGAAACCGCAGCGGGTGCGGTGCCACACGCCCACACTCACACGGCACAGCAGCCTGGCACGGCACCCACAGCCAGCCAGCAGCTTTCCTCTGCAGAGGGGGAGGATGATTCGTGCCAAGCGTGTCTCTCTCCCGCCCTCATCACCGGGGCTGGGGCCTCCGAGCGCTCCTCAGCACGGGCTCGGGGCTGAGGCGCGGGGGAGGCTCCGCCGGGCTGAGTGGCGACAGGGCCGTGCCAGCTCCTGCTGCGCACACGCCGGGTGAAAGCAGGGCAGGAGGCCTGGCCTCCAGCGGCGTGGGTGACAGCCGGGCTCCCCCGGGCGCAGAGGGCTCGGTGGGCTCGGATCCAGCGCTCCCTCCTCCTCGCCCTCCCCGCAGCCGTGAGTACACGAAGGTCTGTGCTCACCGCCGGCTGCCGGGCCGCGGGGGAGGCGAGCACGCTGAGCCCACGGCACTGCAAACCTCCCGCTGGCCCCGAGCCCGACGGAACCGCTGCCCTTGTGTGGGAGGAGAGCTGGGTGCCAGCTGGGGGTCACAGCACGGCGTGACCACGAGCCTCGGGGGCAAGGGCCGGGATCACCGGGACCGCCGGACAGTCACCCCAGGGGTGGCTCCGCCGCCGGGGTTGGAGGCTCTGGCGGGGGTCCGAGGAGCCGGGGCTGGGGGTCTGTGCCCCGCTCACGGTGACAGCGGGACACCAGGGACACACGGGACACACGTGAGGGGGCCCGGCGGGGCTGGCCCAGGGGCGGGGCTCGGGGCGGGGCCCGGGCCGGGCGGAGCGGCGGGGCCGGGCCGGGCAGGGCTGGGCACGGCTGGGAGCGGTACAGCCGGAGCACCATGAACCGCTTCAAGGCGTCCAAGTTCCGGCACACCGAGGCCCGGCTGCCCCGCAGGGAGGTGAGCGCTGCGGGACCCGCCAGTACCGGGGGATCGCGGGGGCGGCGGGGCCGGGGCTGCCGGCGGGCAGGAACAGGGACAGGCGCGGGGACAGGGCAGGACCGGCCCCACCCCGCGGCACCGGCAGGGCGCGGCTCCGGGCCCCGCAGCTGCGGCATCGCCGGTGTGGCGGGGCCGTGCCCGGGTCTCCCGGCTTGGTGCGGGTGCGTCGCCCGGGCGGCCCCTCCTTGGCACCCGCTGCTGCCCATCCCGGGCTCCGCGGAGGATCCCGGCCCCGGGGCGCTCCGCACGTGGGGCTGTCGGGGAAGCCCACCCCTCTCCTGGGCCGCTGCAGCCCCCCGGCCGGCAGCGGCTGGCATGGGGTACCCGTCCCGTGGTGGCTGCTCCCCTCCTGCCGCTGGGCACGGCTGGCACACGCGGTGCATCCCGGGTTCTTGCTGCCCGCTGCCGTTCGGTATCTCGCCCTCCTGGCCTGTGCCAGCCAGGGAAGCACGCACCGAGTGTGAAATGCTGGGCCTCGCTCCTGCCACCCCGCTCTGCCACCCCGCTTCCGCAGGCACAGAGGAAGGGCTGGGCCCCACGGGGTGCTGCTGAGCCCCATCACCCTGGCCATGAGCTGTGCAGCTCGGCACCGCTGGGGCCAGGCAGCGCTGGGCGTCTCGCTGGGCAGCACAGAGCCATGTGGTGCCCAGCTCTGGCCTCTGCTCCATGCATAACCAGCCCCAAGCGTCACGATCCGTCCTGGCACGGTGTTGGCCGTGGGTAGCCCTGCCCTGCTGTCCCCCAAACCACAGAGCTGGGCCAGGGCAATCTCCCAGGTCCCTGTCCCTACAGACTGGGTAGGGCAGGGCAGGGGCAGAGATGCAGGGGCAGGGCTGGGTGAGTCACATCAGGGGGCATTACCAGCACACACAGCCCTTTTGGGGGTTCCCCGAGCTGGGTACCCTTCACCCAGCACCTCCTCAGCACTGTGGCCAAGAGTGAGGCTGCTGCTGCTCGCAGCCCTTGGCTGTGCACACACTCCTTCTTTGTAACTTCCCAACCAAGCTGTCCTTGCACCCACCCGTGGCCTGCGCTCACACGCCTCTGCAAATCCAGCAAGCACCCAAAACATCCTCTGAGCTTCAGCTGTGGGAGGGGACATGGTGCCCCCATGCCCATGGCGTGCCAGCCTCAGTGTCTCAGGTCACTGAAATCTCAGTTGGATGAATGTTTGGCTGTGAATCCCAGGGTTCAGATGAGTCACTGGCAGCAGGGAGTGTGCGTGCCTGTGGAGTGTGGGTGCTGGGACACCTGGCTGTGCAGGACATGGCGTCCTGCAGGCAGGGACATCCCATCATTGCTGTCCTGGTGTTGGTTCCATGGGGGAGCTCCGAGGGGCAGCGTGCTCTCCCTGTGTGCAGGATCTGCTGTGCAAGGCCTTTCCAAAAGGCTTTTCCCATTCAGGCATGAAACATATCCTTGGAAGTGAGGCCATGCACTCCCCGTAGGGCAGCAGGTGGAGAAGGAAGCCTTGTCACCAAGCCCATCTCAGGTGTCACAGCAGGAAGCTTTGTTGTGTCCCCAGCCGAGCAGCTGTTTATGGAGGCACAAGCAGACACCCGACCTGGCTGGATCAGGAAGCGCAGTGTAAACACCAGGGATCACATCTGAGTCTTCTCTTCAGGCAGCATCTGCAGGGCTCTGCTGGCAGATGGCCCTTCAGAGCTCACAGTTTGTTCTAGGGATGTAGCCAGGATGGTTTCATGTGCTTTCCTGGCCGTGCTGCCACGCTGCAGGAAGGATCACTGCCTTGAGGGCTGCTGCCTGTGTGTGGGGAAACTGTGGGGTCAGGATGGACCAGCTCTGTGAAACCTCACTGCAGGGGTCCTGCTGGCACCCCTGTCTCCTGGGGGCCAGATGTGGCTGGTGCCTCCCTCTCTGAGGGCCCAGTGCAGCGTGGTGGGATGCAGATAGTGGGGCCCTTATTCCAGGGTCCTGCTCATGCTCCCAGCCTGTTCCCCATCCCCAGTGCAGCCCCCTGCCCACATGCTGGGTGTGGAGACAGAAACCTGCCTTTGGCAAGAGATGGGTTAACAGGTCTGCACTGAGCTGTGAGGGGAGGAAGTGCTGCAGGAACCAGCGCTCCCTGTCAGGCCTCAAACGGAAGTTGTGCAAGGAGAGGAAACCTGGGGCTCGGGGTTTCCCTTCCCTACCCAGGTATCTGCCCAGTTTGTGGGGTATCCACTGCTTTTGACACCTGCTGCAGCTCTGGGGGCTGCTGTGGGCACACAGGCCTGGTGCCAGCCATAAAACACCTGCCATTGCCACTGACAAGGATTGGACTTGGCCCTGGGAGTGCCAGGGAGCTCGTGGCTCTGGTGGCCACTTGAGGTGGGGTGTCTGTGTTGCTTGGAGTGGGTCTGGCTGATGGAGGATGTCCCAGGGTCCCATGAGTGCAGTGCTCAGCCCTGGAAAACACTGCAGAGTGGGAGTTTGGTTTTGGAGCTGTAAGGCAGCTTCTTGGCTGTGTGTCCATGTGGGAAGTGTGCTGCTGGAGCACACTTGGTCAGCCACAGCTTGACCCTGTGGTGCTTCACAGCCCAAGAGCTTTTGTCCCATCCAGATTCTCTGGCACCAGTTTATTGCAGAGACCTCTGGGCATTTCCCACAGTGGGACAGCCCAGAAATGGCACAGTCTGGGAGCTGGGATGCTCCTGTGTCCCACCCTTCAGCCCTAGTGAGGGGCTGTTCTTTGTGACAGGAGCAGGAGCAGCCACATTGTCCCAGGACACCCCAGAGGACGGGATAATCCCATTGGCATCGCCATTCTCCGGCTCTCCATCGGCATGGCAGCTCCTCTGGGGCTGAGGGCCTCTGCCATGCTGTGCCAATGGTCCTGCAGCCATGCTCCAGGCCCTGCCATAACAAGGCAGCCCCTGATATGGCTTTTCCCTCTGCATGCCAGGCCTGGATCAGCGGGATCCGAGCAGGCTCTGTCCCCTCCTGTGGGAGCCAGGTGAAGGCCAGCTGCCGCTGGATCGCCTTCAGCGCCGAGGCCGCCGGTGAGGCACAAGGGTCCCAGCACTGCTTGGGGAGTGGGATGGGTTTGTCCCAGGGGTCCCTGTGGGGCTGGGTGGTGGGTCAGTCCCCCACAGGGCACCAGGGTGAGTGGAGGAGGCTTTCTCTGGGATCCCCCAAAGTGCTGACAGTCCCACACCTCTTGGCTTGCATTGCAAAGCTGGGTGCCCCTCGTGTGTCCTAGGCTGGGGCGTTTCCTGATCTGTTCCTGTGCCCTCTCCTGCAGGTGTGCTGGGCATTGTGCCCCTGGAGTGCGAGGATGGGAGCAAGAGGACCATATCTCAGCTCTGCTGCCACTCAGGTGGGTGCCAGGTGCCATCTCCCTCCTCCACAGGACGTGTTTGACCCCACGTGGGCTGTGGAGGAGGCTCAGGGGCTGAGTTCAAGCCTGGCAGGCTGTGGTGGGCTGTCTGCTAGGCAAGGGACATGGGGACCTGCCAGGGACCATCACCTGAGGGCAGGGTGGCACCAGAAGGGGCTCTGCCAGGCTGGAATCAATCCGTGTTCCTTCATCTCACAGGCTGCAGTGAGGCCTGAACATGCAGCTCTTCCTCTCACCCTTCTAGCACAGCCTTTCCACATTACTCATAGCACGCCCTGAAATTCCCAGTACACCCAGTGCCAGGCTGGAGTTGGCATCACTGAAGCATCACTGCCTCCAGTGGCAGGCTGGACCAGCAGCTCTGATGTGGCAGGGAAGAGGCAGTGGCAGTATCACTGTGGCAGAGAAGCAGGGCTCTGCCCTGCCCAGGCACAGGGAGGAGTGGTGCCCACCTCAGGGTG